GTTTTTTTTTCAAAGAAAATTTGTTTCTGAACTTTGGCACTCAATAACTTTTAAGCTAATCGACCAATCTATTAATATGAATACATCAAATGAAGCTAGAAGTGTCCTCTTTCGATTAAGCCTAATTTCCAGAAAATTGGTATCTCTGCTTTTAAAGATATAAATTATTTTGTATCAAAGAAAATTAGTTTCTGAACTTTGGCACTCAATAACTTTTAAGTTAATCGACCAATCTATAAATATTATTACATCAAATGAAAGCTTGAAGTGTCCTCTTTCGATTAAGCTAATTTGCAGTAAAATGGTATCTCTGCTTTTAAAGAGATAATTAATTTTGTAATGCAACCTCGTTTTTACAAATTTTTGCTTTCCATTTTTAAAGAAAATTTGCTCTATACTATATAAAAACTAAGTTTATTTAGAAAACTAAACATATTTTTTACTGTTATATGTCTTTTATTTCATAGTTTTTAATTAAATAATAATGTTTTAATTAATTAAAACTTGAAATAACATCGTAATAAGAAATCGACGCTAACTATAGTTTGACATTACATTTCCCTTTTTCATCAGTGCAATTTCAACTGTTCGACGATAACTATTTTGACATTTAATATCCCACACTTATCAATGCAATCTCAACTGTTGTGCATAAATAAGTAAGCGCACATTTAAATTAATTATAATTAATATGTGAATATTCCATTTTTTTTAAATAATTGTAATAATTAGTGTATTATATTCAAAGTTTATTCTGTACTAAAATTTTTCTGTCCTCTGGTATATGATTTTTTAAGATAAAAGGTTTTTCTTTTCAAAGAAAATTAGTTTCTGAAATTTGACACTCAATAACTTTTAAGTTAATCGACCAATCTATAAATATGAATACATCAAATAAAAGCCAGAAGTGTCCTCTTTCGATCAAGCTAATTTGCAGAAAAATGGTATCTCTGCTTTTAAAGATATAATTAATTTCGTAATGCAACCTCGTTTTTACAAATATTTGCTTTCCATTTTTAAAGAAAATTTGCTCTATAATATATAAAAACCAAGTATATTTAGAAAACCAAACATATTTTTTACTGTTATCTGTCTTTTATTTCATAGTTTTTAATTAAATAATAATGTTTTAATTAATTAAAACTTGAAATAACATCGTAATAAGAAATCGACGCTAACTATATTTTGACATTACATTTCCCTTTTTCATCAGTGCAATTTCAACTGTTCGACGATAACTATATTTTGACATTTAATAATATCCCACACTTATCAATGCAATTTCAACTGTTGTGCATAAATAAGTAAGCGCACATTTGAATTAATTATAATTAATATGTGAATATTCTATTTTTTTTAAATAATTGTAATAATTAGTGTTTTATATTCAAAGTTTATTCTGTACTAAAATTTTTCTGACTTCTGGTATATAATTTTTTAAGATAAAAGGTTTTTTTTTCAAAGAAAATTTGTTTCTGAACTTTGGCACTCAATAACTTTTAAGCTAATCGACCAATATATAAATATGAATACATCAAATGAAAGCTAGAAGTGTCCTCTTTCGATTAAGCTAATTTGCAGAAAAATGGTATCTCTGCTTTTAAAGATATAAATTATTTTGTATCAAAGAAAATTAGTTTTTGAACTTTGGCACTCAATAACTTTTAAGTTAATCGACCAATCTATGAATATGAATACATCAAATGAAAGCTAGAAGTGTCCTCTTTCGATTAAGCAAATTTGCAGAAAAATGGTACCTCTGCTTTTAAAGATATAATTAATTTTGTAAAGCAACCTATTTTTACAAAATTTTACTTTCCATTTTTAAAGAAAATTTGCTCTATACTATATAAAAACCAAGTATATTTAGAAAAACAAACATATTTTTTACTGTTATAAGCTTTTATTTCATAGTTTTTAATTAAATAATAATGTTTTAATTAATTAAAATTTGAAATGACATCGTAATAAAAAATCGACGCTAACTATATTTTGACATTAAATTTCCCAAATTTATCATCAATGCAAATTAAACTGTTTTGCATTCACAAGTTAGCGCATAATTTAATTATTTTTATTTAATTTGTTAATCGAACAATATATATAATATTAGACATTAATTGGCTTAGAAAAATTCTAGTTTTTTGTTCAAATAATATCTTAGATGCAGTAATCTTAATAAAAATACGACGCTAACTATATTTTGATATTTAATATCCCACATATATCATCAACGCAATTTCAACTGTTGTGTATGCCCAAGTTAGTTCACATTTAATTTAATTATATATAATTTGTTAATCGAATAAGATATTTAATATTGTATATCAATCGTTTTAGAAAAAATTCTAGTTTCTTATTTTGATAATATCTTTGATGCAGCAAGCCGCACATATTTGTGTTGCAGTTTTACTCTTTTTTCAATGTTGCCATCTTTCTCGTATATAAGTAAAAAGTTTATTCCGAAAATGTATTTATACTGAGCATTTCGTATGGGCAGCATTTAAAATGTGTTTTTGGTTGGTATGTTCACGCATTTATATCAAAAATTGAAATTGTTTTCAAAGTGTATTTTCATGTAAGTTTCGATTTATTTTATAATGAAAATATATTTAATAATAAGAATAAACAACTTTTTTTTACATATTTTATTTAAACCTATTAAAAATATTATTGTACAACATTTCTAAAAACTAGTAGATACATTAAATTATGTCAAATTTTAAAGATTAAGAAATGTTTATATTATTTTAATCAATCTATTGTATCCCGTTTAGACTATTTTTGATAAAAATTACAGCAATTTTGCTTTTTTCACTTATATTTGGTGTAATATTGATAAATATTTTAGATATTTCACAATAACTTACAAATTCGTCAAAACACAGCTGATTTTAACAGCCACTGTTAACAAATAGACACCATCAAGTGTGCTCACAAGTTAGTTTAACTGGTTGCAGCTTTACTTGGTTACCAAACGCGTTACTCCAATTCGTGAACAAATTCAATATAACAAATTTATTTTTTATATTTTGCTTTTTATTTTAAAAAGTAAATAATACGATTTATTAGTTGATTATTGTTTTTAATTATAACTGGGTAATGTAAAATTTTCTTACAATAGCTGCGTTTCAGCAAACATGATCCGCTCAATGATCTGGATCATCTTTGCTGAAACGATAAGGATCACGTTTGAAAATAATTGGCAACGCATGAATTATGCCAGTTGGGTTTGTGTTCAAAATTTTTTGATTTGTGTGAATAATTTTGGCGCGAAAAAAATAAGTGAGGAAATTTTGAATACAAAAAATCTAAAAAATAGAAAAAAAATAAAATCTGTTGAAATGTCTGAAGTATTAAATGTAAGTTTTTATTTAGTATTTACTTAAAAAGTTAAATTTAATTCTATAGTAAATAAATGAAAATTGCAGATTTTATTAGAATTATCAAGCAAAACTGACTCCTCCATTTTCTTTTTAAACACTAGTCCAAGTTTATTAAGCTCAGGGGATGAAGTGCATCAGCATGGATATAGTGGAAATTTTGTGGAAACGATCAATAATTTTTCCGTTAAAGACTATTTGATTGGTATTTGCGCATAAAATATACAATTGCTATATATTAATTATGTTTCATATTTTAATAGATTTGTTAATAAAATCCAATCAGCAAATACAAAATAACCGTGATGATCACAATCGGACGAGAGCAATGAAGGAATTTTACATATTTTTGTGGTATATGGCAAATATGAATACTTTTTGCGAATTTGGTATTTGTTTTGGCATACCAATAGCTTCTGTATGGAGAACTAGTGTTTAGCGTATATTAATTGGACACTAATTTATAAAATACGCTCTTGCTAATAATGCAAAAGTGGAAGCTTCGAAAAAATTCCCGTTCGTATTGGTTGCATAAACCGTATACATGTAAAAATAAATGCACCAAACCATAGCAAATAGGATTATTTCAAAAGGAAGCATGACTGGCTTAATCTTGCAGGCAGTTTGTGATGAAAATGGTTTTTTTTATAAACGTGTATGTTGGAGAGCCTGGTTCCTTATGCATTGTTCTGTTTTAATTAAATAAATATATTCAACTTAATTTATATATATTCATTTCAAACTAATTGATTTTAATAAATTATCAAGCAACACTTTTTCAAAAATAATAAAACGTAAATAAATAAAGTAATAATTTTTGTTATAGTAATAGTTAAAGCATTACTTTAAACAAGGAAATAAATAATAATGACATATTAAATAAATAAGTACATAAAATAAATAATAAATAAATAAAATCAATAATAAATAAATATAAATGTAGATTTGTTTATAATTTTACTGCACCGTTGCATCGCATTGCCAACCTCATTTGCATTAAAATGCGTTCCACTTTTATCTTTTACATACATTCCACATTGAACCAGAAAGTGAACCAGATCAATTGCTGGTTCACCCCATTGTTTTTGTTTTACATGTAAAATTGAGCGGATCATGTTTGCTGAAACACAGCTAATATAAAAATTCTAATTATCTGTTCAAATCAATAAACAAAAAACAAACAAAATTTTAGTCACAAAAAAAAAACACCAAAAAGATTGTAAACAAACTCTCGTCAAAATACATAAACAAAAACTATCAAAACTTCAGTGAATCCAGAATTATCCCCAAAAAAGTGGCAAGAACATAATTTACACTGCTTCATTTAACTACATATCAAAAAAAATTTAACAAATGTGTCTTTATTAATATATTACTTAATTTAATTATATTGATGAAGAAGTATGCAACGAATTTGGTGCTGAAAAAAAAATTGAATACTACATTAAGACACAAAGCTAAATTCATTAATGCATGTAGTAAAAAAATAGAAAGAAATAAATTTGTGATACGATCTGTCCAAAAATTTTAGATAAAATTTATTTTGTTACTTTCAGTTTCTTTTAATTGATTTTTCTATATGTTTAAGAACGTAGAAACTTTAAATAATTACGCAAGTTTTGGTAATACTATTCTAGTCCATATATAAAGAACTTTATGTAAATAGAAATTTAGAAATATTGGGGTAATAAAAATACAAAATTTGAATTTCTTTGTTAATTTTAATGCTTAATAACCGCCATTGTAAATCTCTTTCAGATGAATCCTTACCAGTTCAACGGTTACACGGCGTCTTTTAGAATGTCTGTAAGGGAGTCGCAACTTGTCTAGTAATCGGTGAAAGTGCAGAGAGTATACATATCTAATTTATTAATAACTTTATCAAAATTATGTTTTGAGTTTGAATTTCCATTACTTCGAAACATTCGTCTCTTTGACTTAAATTTAAACTATCATGTTTATGTTTTTATCCGTCTCTATGTACTTGTATTGTCGCTTCAGTAGATTCCTGATTACGCAGTTGTTGTCTATATTCATCCAATTCCTGCATGCGGTAGGTTCCAAGATTTACTTGCATCATTAAAGTTTCCATGATGCGCTCATTTTTAAGAGATTTTGAAGGAAGTACTACAGTCAGCAGTTCACTCGGCGATATGCGACACAAGTTAAGGTCTCGTGTTAAACGTTCCATGATGCATTCAAATTCGAATTGTGTATCCTTGTTTGGATGATTTTTTAATTTAATTACTTTATTACGTGCCCATGCTAACATTGCTTCAAATTTTCTAATTTCAGGTGCTTGTAATTCCCTGCACATTATCATTTGAACCATTGATTCGGAGAGATTTAAAAACTCTGGACATTTGAATAGCGCATGTGCTTTATTTTCTACAAAAGAAAGTATCATGTTGACTAGTTCAGAAGCCGATGTATATCGCCAATAATAATTCTCCAGTGAAATTAACATTGGACAGACAACTTCTATTCTTAAAAACTGCTTACAGTGATGAAAACAAGCTTGCAATAGTTCTGGTAAATCATAGTGTTCAGCAGCACAAAGTAAACCTAAAATTAAATAAAAATATTTTTAACTAAATTAATGAGAAAACTTGTTCTAATGAATAGTTTTTTAGTCTGAACTAATTGATATAATACTTTCTAAAATTGTTAAGGTAAATGATATTTAGATAACTCATATCAACTTGAAGGTTTAATATAATAACAAATTTCGACTGTCATAAAAAAATATTTGATGAATTGAAGTTTATTTTCCTTGTTCATTGTAATAACCTTTTGATCATATCAGAAAATAGGAGTTCGGAAAGTGGTGCACAAAATCGCACACTGCACTGTGCGAGTGGAAATTATTTTTAAAATATGCACACGCACGCACTCAAATTTGTTGTATGGTTTCAAATTTCACATCGCACAAAGCGATGATTGTGCACACAGATTCGTGCACACACATTTGTGCTGTGCGACTGACTTAAAAAAATGTGCACAATC